TATGAAAATAAGCAACTAATTAGTTATCATGCATACTACACAGGACATCACATAAATATATATTATGCATATCAAATAAATAATATGCAAATCACAAAAATAAATATGATGTATATTAAATAATTAGTAGCAATAAACATGAAAATCAAAAATTCAGCTATTGTGGCATTAATAACAATCCAAGAAAAATATAAAAACTGACAATACAATCCATATTGGAATTGTTTTTCCTATTAGTCGGGACTTCTCACATGTCACATGTCACACGTGCGTAAATTATGTAGGCAAAATATATAAAAAAAGGCAACTTCCTTGCCAAAAATCTCGTCCGTAACTGATTAATCTCGTCTGGAAAAAAAATTCTAGCATAAGAACGTGCAACCGAAGATGAGTGTGATTGATTTAATTAGGAAGTAAATTTATCCCACTAACAACCAAAACATAAAGATTTCATTGAGTGAGATTGATTAAATTAATTGAATTTTAAACTTAATTATATCAGTCAAATGCGAGATTTTTCATTTTTTTTTTTTTTTGGAAAAAATAAAAAAAAAAAAAAAATAAGAAGGCTCCACGTAACATTAGAGATGTAAATGACTTTGAATAAAAATATGAAACATTCAACTTAAGAGTTTAATATTTATTTAGTTATTATTATTAATTTATCTATAGATATTTTTTTATAGCATGACATGTAATCATAAAAGTTTTAGTTAAAAAATATCTGTGTTATTGTCTATTTTAACGAGCACACAATAAAGAAGTGAAGGATTGACAAATTATTTTTATTGTAGTTACTTATATATAGAAAAGTTTTAGGAATGGTTGAAAACTTAATCACCTAATGAAACATTGGATATCAAAACAATGTGGATATTATAACTATATTATTTATTTGTTATGTTTATGGTTTGTTATTTTCTTATAATTCTAAATTCTTTATAATTGACCATAGTTTTTGGGTACTTTTATAAATTTTGATATTATTTAAATTAAGGAGTACATTGAATTTTTATTTTTTAGTTTAGTAAAATGATTCCAAATTTCTGGAAAGAGTGATAAATATTTAATTTGTATTTAATAAATGTTAAAATGGAAAAAAGAAAAAATATTTCCAACATCTTAAGAAGTAGAAATTTATTTTTTAAACAAAAGGAAAAACGATAATATTGGAAAAGGAAAAAAATGATATAGGAAAGAAAAACAATTGTCATGCTTCATAGGAAGAATTTAGAATAGATACTCGACAATTTATTTGACTTATCACTGTTAATGATTCTAGATATGTAATTAAGGATTTTAAAATAAATCAAAACAATACCTACAAAAAAAAAACGAAATTTAAATATTGACATCAAGATAAGATGAAATGCATATCTATTAAAAAGTAATCACTTTCAAAAATTCTGATTTTTTTTTTTTTTTAAAAAAATCATGGACAAGAATTGCCCAAAATTTCAAAAAATATTTCCATAAGTAGTAAAAACTGAAAACTTGAGCAGGAGTTGTCATGCTATTTTTATATTTTTTGTTATTGCTATTATATAGTAATAGATTTTTACTAAAAATGAGTTTCTCTATTAGAATAAGTACATATAAAAAATAAATAATTAGATAAATAAAGCTAGTGAAAGCCCTAATTTTTTCTCTTTCTTTTTTTCTTTTCTTCCCCAATTCCGCAGTCAACAACCTCTTCCTACTCTCCTTGTCTGTTTGCCTTCCTCAATGAATAGTCGGGTCCTTTGCCGACAGTATTTTTGGGCATGTGGTAACCGAGCTACCCGACTCGGGTCATTCTCAAAAGAAGGCTGTTCGGAGCTTCGTTCACTACCTAGTCGTCAAAATAACATAACCGAAAACAAATCCTACACATTCTACTCTCTCGATGGAGATTGATAAAACACTATTCACATTGAAAATGGAAAGCAATTGAAAACTCGAAAATAAAAATGAGAACTTTAGGTCAACTGGAGTCTCTATCACTCGAATAACACAAAGAACCGAGAGACATCAAAGTAGCCATGTGATCCTAAGTGATTAAGTCGAGCTTTATAACTAACGACTACGCTTAAAACCAAGTTGCACCCTTTACATAAAAGATAAGCATGAACTAATCCCTAACACACATCGACAAGCAACAAGAATCGAACATTCTTTCATTCAACAAGCAAAACCAAATTCACCTTGAAACATATCATAAGTAAAAACGGGCAAAATCGAAGTAATGTGGATTAAATCTAATTACCCACTCTTATAATGCATGCATGAAAAACACCGAATGGAAAAGTTCGAATCTTGAAATAAAATTATGTCACCGGAAACTTGCCGGAAAATTAGAGTAATAAAACTTTAAACCAAAGCATAAAAAGAAAAGAGAGAAAATGGAGAGGATTTCCCAACTTAAAAGTTGGGAAATGAGGGTGTTTTTCAAAAAATACAAATCACAATGTCTATTTATAGCTACACCACAAATACACCCTAAAAACACACACATTTAATGAGATTATGAAGTACGCCGGTCTCGAAACATGGTTCGCCAGCGAGTTTGGGGTGGAGGTAGTGCTAGAATATTGAGCGTTCGCGGGTCGCCAATGGATGTTCGCCCGCGAGTGTAGTATTGTGGTGTTGTGGGTCGCGCCTTCGTCGGTCGCAAAGTGGTGTTTGCCTGCGAGTGTGGTGCTGTGGTGCTGGGGATCGCGCCTTCGCTGGTCGCGGAGTGGTGTTTGCCTGCAAGTGTGGGCTAGCATGACCATCTTGTGCGCTTGTTTGCAGGGCGCGACTCGGGGTTCGCAGCGAGTGCAACTGGGCAAAGGGCTCTTGGGTGTGTTCGCAAATTATTTTTACTAACCGCAAGTGTATGGTGTAGCTGTAGTAAGCGGCCAGTAAGGTCGTATTCCACAGAGATTGATGTTAAAATAATTAAGTACAAAAATATAGATAATTAAATATTATTTAGACTAACTCAAATTTGAATGG